CCGTGGGAGCCAAGGGCAGCGTGGATCTCTTCTTCCCAGCATCCCACACCCTCTTCTCTCCAGAGAGAAAGAAGGGAGAGGCGGAGCCTTCTCCATCCTGTCACTCCTTGCGCTCCCCCGTCTCACACTTCGTTCTGGCCACCCCTTCACCATCTCTCCCTTTCCTAATGCGTATCTACACTTTCCCTTCTCTCCACTGCTTTCTGTCCCTTCCCTTGATCCAACAGCCATACTCACGTCCTGTTGTGAGGCCTTCGGGGAGAAGACCTTGTCCAGCTCAAAGGATACAGACTTTCCTTTGTGCAGCAGGTGGATAATGGAGTCGTCATCAGGATCGAAGGTCACTGCATTGGTCGCCTCAGGTCCTTCCCCATCCTCTTTGGTGATTGGCCGGACACGAGCAATCACCCGGATATTCCCTGGGTTGGGTGGGGGAGGAGAGAAAGGTATAGGCCAGGTCAAGACCAGACTGCCACGCTGGCGTCCACTGGTGTCCTAAGCAGCCCCTGACTTCTAAGCAAGGCTGCCCAGGGCAAGGGGGCCCACAAAACTATTACCAGTCACTTACACTGTATTCTGAATTCACTAAAAAATGGGTCCGTTTTCTTCCTGAGCAAACCAGTTGAGGGTGGGAGTTTTACCTTGAGGACACGGAGGAAAGGGCAACTGTGGGGCTCAGAGGCTACACCCAGTCTGGCTGGGATACCAAAATGGACACTCTTTACATCCCTGTTCGTACTTCCGTTTCCTCATCTACACAATGAGGGGCTTGGGTCCCGGCGTGCCAAGGGACTTGTTCTATCGTTGTAAAAGGGCACTGTGAGTGCCAGGACGGGGCTCAGAAGGGCAAACAGGACCAGATGCGGTGGATGACTGGTGGCACACTGAATGGGCTCAGGCAATGGGGCAGCCTCAGAGGTGTTTAGAGGCACAGATCTGATCGCACCCACCCCCCACCCCCCACCTTGCTTCAAGCCCTTCAGTGGGATCCCAGTGCTCCTGGAATGAAGAGAAAATTCTCCACCACAGCCAGCTTGGACCCACCTTTCCCCTTCACCTGTCCGCTCCAACTCACAGTCCAGGTCTCAGCTGTAGCTTCGCCTCCTCTGGGAAGCCCCGACACCCCCCACTGTCAGATACCCAGAGGCTCTCGCAGCAACTCCCCCGCCCTGGTAACAAGGTCAGTATTGGAGTCTCTGGGTGATTAATGATCACTGTCTGCTCTGCCAGCTGAAGTCAACACCGTGAGGGCAGGCATGGCACCTGCAGGGCCCACGACCGTAGCTCAGTGTCTGGAACAGCACCCGGCACAGAACAGGTGTTCCCCAGACCTTTGTGAACAGGTGAAATCTCAAGCTCGACCAGGCCCTAGGTCAGAACAAGTGGCATTCCAGCCACCCTCCACCCAGTGTTTCGCTACCTGACCCCGTGGCCACCCAGGGGCCTGGGAGTCACCTGACATGACACTGGGACAACGGCTTCTGCATTGCACAGATCCAAGTCCCTGACTTCTCTGCACCTCTGCTGCCTTATCCTCAAAAAAGGAATGACAATGGCACCTCAGCGATAGGGCATAGCTCCAAGGAGTGATGCTGGAGGCCGTGGAGAAGGGCAGGGTCACCTCTGAGCCAGGCTGAGGACCCCTCACTCCCACCAGCCCACCCAGCAGCCACCTTTCAGCCGCACGAGCTCATTGTGGCACTTCTTGCGCAGCTGCAGCTCCCGGCGGTACTTGCGCAGCAGATCCTGGTTGTTGGTGTTGACCTCCTCAATGGCCTGGCCGATCTAGTGGGGGACAGGCGGCCCTGTCAGGCAGGGCGAGCTGAGTCCCTGACGTGCACTGTCACACCTCAAATTCTCCCAGTGACCCCGCTGGGTAGGTTCTGCTACCAGTCCCATTTTACAGAGGAAGAAACTGAGCCCCAGAGAGGCTAAGCCAGTAGTTCAAGGTTGCCCTGCTAATGAGCAAAGGGCCAGAACTCAGCCTCACTCCACGGCACTTGCACTGGGGATTCAGCTGGACCCAAATCCCAGCTCTACCCTGAGTAGCTCGGGGACGTGAGGCAACAGGCTCAACGTCTTCAAGCCTCACTTTTCTCATCTGCAAAATAAGGATAACACCATCTAACTCGTGATCTGTAGGAGCTGATATGTAAAGATCTCTAAGTTGCATTTCATAGCAGAAAGCAGCAAGATGCAGACCACACACACGTACATATGGCCCCCTTGTTGGTGAAGAAGGCATATGCAACAGCACGTTTTCTCCCCCTCAGAGCACCCTGGGGGACATGCTGGCAGAGAGGTGCCTTTCCTTTTCATCTGATGCCCTTCTGCAGGGTTTGAACCTTCTACCATGTCCAGGTATTACTGACATAATTTTGTAAAGCCCTATCTTCTAGTCCTAAAATACATCCGTCTCTCTACCCTGCAGGGCAGTTGTACAGATTCAAGGAGCCGATGGCTATAAAAGGCTCAGCATGTAGGAGGCACTTAAGAAATGTTGGCTAATCTCACACTGTACAAGCACAGCTTGAAAAATTAAATGAAACCTAGCAGATGTAAGAATATATGTAGTGTGTTTGAGATATAAGGATCTCTCTCACATGTTTCGTTTAAAGACGTATAAGAAGACAAATGCCAAAATACGTGCCTCTGACCGTCTGTTTTTAAAACAGGGTCTGACGGTGGCAGTGTATGTGGCGGGGAGGGGAGGGGCTGTTGTCTGGGATGCTTTGCGTTTTGGAAGAGAGCCCTGGGTGGATGCTGCATCTGCCCAGGGCTCCATGGCCTCTCCCAGCCCCACACCCCATGGCCTGCACTCACCTCGGCCTTGACGCTCCTGAGGGCCTCCTGCAGCAGCAGGGGGAAGCCGCGCACCTGCCGCTTGAGCCCATTGTAGTCGTTGGTGAGGGTCCGCAGCGCTGGCTGCAGTGTCAGCAGGTTGGTCCGGACGCCTACGAGGACACGAAGGGTGTGAGGCAGATAAGGTGACAGGCTCTGGCATGGGGCAAGCCAGGGCCCAGCGGCCGGCTCACCTGCCAGGTTCTCGTGCACGGCTTTCATCTCCACCTGGGCTCTGGCAAAGGCCTCCTCGATGGCCCGGTTCTTGTCCTCCTCCAGGGACTGCATCTCCTCTAACANGGCGTGGGGACATGGCAGAGCCTGCATCTGCCTGTTGTGACCTACTCCAGAGCCGCTCTGCTTGTGGGCAGGATGTCCCTCGCATTTCCTGTCCCCAGGCCCCGCAGCCCCACACCTTGTTGATGTCGTCCACGCTTTGCACCTGGAACTCGGTCAGCCCTGGCACATACAGCTGCCCGCTGCCATCTGGGCACAGCCGGATCTCCAGTTTCTCCTGGGGCTCCTGCCCCAGCAGATCCCTGGAAGGGCAGGTGGGACGGTCACTCCCTCCCATTCCTGCCTCTGCTGGCACTGCACCCGCCCCCCCAGCCTGAAGTGTTCCCCCACCCGTCACACCCTCAGGAACCTTTCTTGGACCAATGGGCTAAGCCCCTCCTCCAGCTCCTGCCCTGCACTCAGTTTAGTGAAGGGCAGAGACCAACCAGTCCCCAAAAGTCCTGTGGTGGTGCCACTCCTGCCCCCACAATGCACTGGCCCCTGTGGGCAAACCGCACCAATGCCCCCACTCTCACTTATCACCACCTGGTAAGCCTGCAGGTAGGGTGAGAGCCCTTTGAGGGGAAAAGCAGCACCTTGGTCTGGGGGTCCCAGGGGCCTCAGAGAGAGCCCTCTTCCCCCTGCCCACTGGTGGGGCGGGAGGAGCCAGGGACCGGCAGAGTCCCGACCCCTTTCTTCAAGGAGACCCCACTTCCCATCCCACATGGCTCCACACGGTCCTGAAAACCACAAAGCTGCCTGGGAGGCCTGTGCCCACGCCAGGGCTGCCCACCTAAGGGCCTCCCACCTGAGGACCTCGTTGTAGATCTCAGCTACGCTGACGGTGATGGTGTACTCCCAGTCGGATGCCTTCTCCTGCACCTCAGAGAAGAGCAGCTGCAGGGCCCGCTGGTTGATGCCTGGGTTCTCGGAGGTCCCCTGGAGGCAGAAGCAAGGCCCCAGTGAACTGGGCCTCTTTACCATGAGGATATTCACAAGGTGTCTATGGCCCCCACCTGCCTCCAGCTACCCTCCCAAGCCAACCTCCCTGCCCAAAGCTCCCACCTGAATGCCGTTCTCCCCCAATGCCCTTTACCAGCTGCAAGCAATTTCACCTCTTTGGGCCTCAGTTTCCCATCTTTAAAATGGCACCACCCTGCCAGGACTTCCCTGAGACTTAAAGCGGAGCACCTGGGTGAAAGGGGCTGCTGAACGCCAGATGTGCACCTGGCCCTAGTGGGCCACCTGGGAGGGGCACTGGGGACCTGTGATTTCCCTGCTGCTGCCCACAGGACGGCCCAGTGTCGCGGAGGTCACGAGCGAGCCTCTGTGGTGGCGGAGGGGAGGCACAGGTGGAGCTGGCAAGTGCCCTGGGGCCTAATGGGCTGGTCGGCCTTTCTGCAAGGAAATCTCCCCACCTGCCTACCACGTCTGCTGCTCAGGCCTCCTTGCCAGGCCTCCCCTACTGCAACCTGGCCGCCTCCCCAAAGGGCCCTCTAGTGCCCCTTGTCCAGATACCAGGACACCTTCCCTCCTCCTCTACCCCAGGAACCTGAGAGCACCCCCTCAAGAGGCAGGGAAATGCTGCCAAACCAAAGGCACCCCAGGGGTCAGCCTCCCGTTTTGTCTACAGTCAAGGCTCTTCCTCCCAGCTACACCTGACGGAGAGGGGAGGGCCACAAGCAGGGAGATACAACTCTGCCCCGGGAGCAGCAGGTAGGAGCTGGACACCCCACAGCAGCCGTCACAGTCTCTCCCACTGCCCGGGAATGCCTCCAAGACCAGACCTGCCCTCCATCCTGACAGCCCAAGGGCCTAGCATGCAGCAGGCATACAGCAGGAGCCCAATAAACACATGTGGGTGAGTCCATGAAAGCCCGTCCCGAGAGACTGTGGCAGTGGTCTGCCCTGGACTCTGACCTCAGGCCAAGATCCTTCTGCTGCCAGTCTGCTGTCAGCATGCCTGCCCCTCGCCCATACCCACTGGGACCATCACAGGTGCACTTGGGCAAGGAGCCCCCTCTTCAGGCCTGGTGACCTGGGGGCTCTGCTGCCAGGGTGGTTATGAAGACAGAGTGAAGCAAAACATACACCACGCAGCACCCCGAGACCAAGGAGGGAAGTCCCCATTTACAATAGCAAGGGGGCGGTCCTCACTCTCTGAACGCCTGCCCCATCCAGTGGGCACCCACCTCCATCGTGTACGTCTTGCCGGCGCCCGTCTGGCCATAAGCGAAGATGCAGACGTTGAAACCGTCAATACAGGAGGTGATGAGGGCCTGTACCTCCTGGAACACCTGAGGAGGAGACGTGGGACGGAGGGTGTGGGGCTGCCAGGGCTGCTGGACCGGGGGGCCCCACCAGTTCCAAGTCCAGCCACCTCCCCTGACGGCTCTCTCCTTCAGCAATATTACAACACATGTTATCGTGGACAACTAGCTCCCGGTGGAAGAACTGGTGACTAATAAGTCACTTGCACTAGACATCAATGGCAATCTGGTCCCTGAGAGATGGAAGAGAAGATATGCCTGCGCTTACTGCTGCCAACACCTGAGGAAGGGGCCGCCCATGCCTGGAGCTTAGGACCCACCCCTCCACCCCGCCCCCACCCAGATTCTCTTGAACTCAAGGAGAGCACAGCAAAATGAAGGCAGAGGCCAGCCGGTGCCCGGCACCTCCTCCGCCTGCCTGCCAGTGGGCAGAGGACGAGGGCAAAGGTAAAGCCAGGCATAGGGACAGTAGGGCACAGGCAAGACAGGCCTGGCAGGTTGGCCCTGGTAGAGAGAACAGCGGATGCTGAGACCATAAGGCTCTCACAGGCTGGAGGGGCCTAACTCAATGCTGGCGAGACTCATGCGGATGGGGGGGGGCTGAGGGCTGCAGCCGCCTCCGGATGGAGCCTGGGCGGCTAGTGGTCCCAGAGCTCGGGGCTGAGTGGGCTCGAGCTGAAGGCTGTGGCGTCTGGCAGGCTGGCTCCCACTGTGGGCAGGGATGAGCAGGTGGGCTGGGGCCATGCGGCCCTGAGCCCCCAACCACCTACTTCCCTCCACTCCCCTCCCAGCCTCCTGAAACTGTTTCCTCATCTGCAAAACGGGCATGATGGTGCTACCCCACTTCAGTTATTGTGAGAGTTAAGTGAGATAATACACGTAAAGAAGTGAACTAATCACTACTGAGCCACCCTGCACCCCATCTACCCGCCAACCAGCTGACGACCCCATAGGTACCTGTGAGGCCAAGAAATACTTGGACTAAAGCGGCTACTGGGTTTGGGTTCAAGTTCTGGC